TATGGAAAGTCTGCTTTTAGCTCTTTAAGGATTCTCCATACTTCTTTCCATGGAGGCTAGTTTGCAACCTCACCAACAGTACAAAAGTAATTTTCTTACCCTATTTTCTGGTTACAATTAGCCATAGAAATCTCTTTTATCTCTAAGTCTGGAAGCACAGTCTCAGTCCAGACGTTATTTAGAGATGACAGTGTCAGTGCTTCACGGTTGTGCTTCTCACTCACTTCCTTCTGTGACCAGTGTGGCTCCCTTCACCCCAGGGTCATGCCCTCCTCCCCACTTGTGAACTACCACTCCTGACCACGGGCGCCCTGGTATAAACAGGGAGAAGCTGTGAGAAGCAGCAAAGCTTTGGCTTCAGTAGGACCCGCCTAAGAAGACTCTGGCTCTGGGCCAGGACCAGGACAAGGATGTGGCTGCCCTGGTGGGGTGTTTAGGATTCCCTGGCTGGGGAAGCCTTCTAGGCACCCGTCTTTCAGCACTGCACCCCTAATCCATAAGTAGCTTCAGTTCCTCAGCAGCCCCCTCAAAACAGGCAGTTCCCCACCAGATCTTGCCACCTGCAGCCCCAGGTAGCCTAATGGACAGCAGCTAAGAGCCCCACACTGTGTTTTTCCCACGTGGCCCACATCTAGTTCACATACACACACACTGAAAATATTCACTCAGTCTCTGCCCAACCCCAGGATGCAGCCAGTCCCACACCAATAATTCCCAACCACCCCACAGGGGAAGCATCCAGGAAGCCACAGACTCTGGCCCTCTACATATTTCAGGCTTGAGTCAGACCCTGGTCTGTGGTGACCCCAACTGAGGGGGATGCACCCAGCTCTCCAAGCCTCCCTGCCAAAGCTTCTGGACATGAAATGATACTTGGAGCAAAGGACAAGCTGCCCACACCCTCCCCTCTTAGGAAAAGGTGACAAAGATTTATCTAAAGAAATATCTACAAAGTCCTTCTGTATGCCCCTCTTTAGAGTTGTAAACTCATTCTTTAGCATTTCCTTTGCATTTATTTGTCCTTCATTTTGTAATTGTTTATGTATATTACAAAAAAATTGTCTTTTTTCATATTCTTTTATTGGGGTTAAAAATACATAATGAAAAAATTGCCATTTTAAGGATATAGTTTAAAAAAAAGGATATAGTTCAGGGGTTATAAATACATTCATTATGTCATACAGCTATCACCACCATTTGTCTCCATAGCTCTTTTCATCTCAAACTGAGACTCTGCTTCCATTAGACACTAGTTCCTAATCCTCCCTCCCCGGCACCCACCATCCTGCTTTCCAGCTCTATGATTTTGGCCAGTCTAGGTAGTTCACATGAATGGAATTGTACAGTGTTTGTCCTTTGGAGCCTGACTTTGGTCATTAGTGAAATGTCCTCAGGGTTCATGCATGTTGCAGCATGTGACAGAACTGCTTCCCCTTTAAGGCTGAGTGACAGTCCATTGTATGTGTCACATTTTGTTTCTCTGTTCATTTGTCAGTGGACCTTTGGGTTGCTTCCATCTTTTGGCCTGTGTGGATAACACTGCTATGAACATGGGTGCACAAATGTCTGCTTGAGTCCCTGCTTTCAATTCTTTGGGATATATAACCAGTAGTAGTTGAATGGCTAGGTCACAGTAATTTTTAATTTTTTGAGGAGCTTTCACACCGTTCTTCATAGTGGCTGCACTAGTTTATATCTCTACCAGCGATGCATGGCCATTCCAACTTCACATCTTCACCAGCACTTGTTATGTTCTGTTTTTTGTTTTGTTTTGTTTGTTTTCAGTAACAGCCTTCCTATCAGGTGTGAAGTGGAATCACCTCACTGTTGTTTTGCTTTGCGTCTCTCCAATGATTAGTGACGCTGGGTTCCTTTCACATGCTCTTGGCTGTCTGTATAACTTCTTCGGAGAATCATCTATTCGAGTCCTTTTCCCATTTTTGCAAAGAGTTGTTTGTTTTTTTGTGTTAATTTGTTGAAGTTCTTTATATATTCTGGATATTAATCTGTTGTCAAATATATGATGTGCAAATATTTTCTCGCATTCCATGGGTTGACTTTTTACCCTGTCAGTAGCACCTTCTGATGCTCAGAAGTTTTCAATTTTTAAGTCCGACTTACCAATTTTTTTTTCTTCTGTCACCTGTGCTTTGGTAACCTAACCAAGAAATCACTGCCAAATCCAAGGTCATCAAGCTTTTACTCCATCTTTTCTTCCAAGCTGTTGCATGTAGGTCTTCAATCCCATTTGAGTTAATTTTTGTATGGGGTATAGTATAAGGCTCCACTTCCTCTGGCATCTAATCCTAATGGGTGCCAGATTTCACTGAGTCCTGCCCAGCTGGGACTATCCTGACCTTCCTCCCAGATCGATGCCCCACACCTCAGGATTCATTGTGGCTGGTGCCTAATGTTCTGGGTTGGGGGGCTGGGGGGGGCAGAAAGAAGAGGCCCAGGATGCTGCCCTTCATCTTCCTTTTCCCTAGAAGGGAAGGGAAGGAGGTCTGGCTCCCATGCCCAGACCTGGGATCTTCAGAGGATGCTGTGGATGGGTGGCGGACAGGGATGTCCCCTTTAGCTGCTGTAAAGTGACACTTGCAAGATCGAGCTGTCCTAAATGCAGCTACTTTGGAAGGATCTTGTGAGCAGGCTTGCCTGTGTACCTGGGGTCTGGGCCCCTTGGTTAGATGGTGGGGAGACGTGAGCATCTCTGTGTTAACCCCAAGAGCATTTGGTGACTCAGGGTTTGCAAAGGCTCTAGGAAGCACATTCTAGCCTCACTGGTGCTGTGAGGCAGGCAGCGCACAAGTCACATTGATGAGGACACCCAGGCTCAGAGACATTTACCAACCTGCCAAGGGGCATCTGCAGTTCAGTGAGAAATGCAGCTGGTACCAGAAGCCTGGCTGCTGGGTCCCCGCAGAGGGTCTTCCCTGGACTCTGGGAATACTGTGTCCTGTTTAGGGAAGATTCCTGACCCCAACCATTTCATCTGTCCCAATGCAGCCTAGAAGTGTATACCAGGCAGCAGCAGATGTGAATTCTAGCCCTGTTTTGTCACGGATGGCCCCACCCTGTTCCTTAGAATAAACCACTGTCTCTTCCCAGGCCTCAGTTCCCTACACTGTAAAAAAAGTGGGTTGGAGTGGGAGTAAGTGCAAGGATAACAGTAGGCTCCACACCAGTCTCCTCTGCCTCCCCCCCACTGGGTGAAAGAAAATTGCTTTGCAGGGATCACTAAGAAACCTGGATGCCAGTCTCAGCTCTGCCGTTGTGCCCCTGGGCCTCAGTTTCCCCCTCACACAAGTAAAAGCTTGAACATCTTGATTTTGGAAGTTTCTCTGAGCACTGAGATCCCAAAACTCTGCTCCTTTCTTTCTTCTTCTCCTGCTCCACTGGAGATAGGGGGGTTGTGTGTGTGGCTGTGTACGTGTGTGTGTGTGCGTGTGCATGTGCGGGATCTGTCTCTGTGTGTGTCTGTGTGTGCATGTAGTGGCAGCAGGGGAGGGAGGGAAGGAGTCCTGCAGGGGTGGAGAAGGGACTGGCAGTTAGGACAGAAGATGGGCAGGACCTTATGTGCCAGCAGGGCTTAGCACTTTCTCAACAGCTAATGGCGCTGGGGGCTGTTTAATCATTAAAGGAAAGGAAAGAAGCCAAGAGCACCTCAAAGTCCAGCCTGCTGGTGGTGACTGACACTCACAGATGAGCGAGGAGCTGGCAGAAATGGGGCCTGCAGCTTCCGGGGACGGGGTCAGGACCGAAACAGCTCTGCACCCTGTGCTGGGCCCCAGAGTTGGCCTGCACGCCTATGACATCGCGGTGCTGGTTGTCTACTTCATCTTTGTCATCGCCGTGGGGATCTGGGTGAGTAGGCCCTGAGGAGCTGGCAGAGGGGGCAGAAGCAGCCTCATATCTTGGGCTGAGCTGTGGATCTGGGACTGGGGTGGGCAGAAGGAAACAGCTCATAGAACTGCGGGGATGCGATGGGAAGGCCTTCAGCAATCAGGCTCCCCGCGCCCCTCCTTTGACAGAAGAGTAGACTGAGGCCCAGAGAGGGCTGTGGCTGGCCTGAGGTCACACAGTGGGCCCCAGGCAGGCCAGGTCTGGAGCCCCATCTCTGGCCACCTTTCTAGCCTCCAGAGGCTTACTCCAGCCCTCTTCCCCACCACAAGACCCCCAACTCTGCAGATGTCTGCCCGCTGACCCCACACCAGGTAGAATCTTAGCCAGCAAGTGGTGCTTTCCAAAGGAGCTGGGCTCGCGTGCCCTCAGGGAAGGGCTCCAGGCAGATCCCAAGCTCCTTCCGTTTGTTCTCCACGGTTCACAGGTGCCGTGGGCTGGGGTCAGGCTTTAAGGTCTGGGGGACCTAAGTTCAGATCTTAGTCCTAACAGTCAGAGCCATGTGGTCCTGGGGGCTCCCCTCTCTGAGCTTCAGTTTTCTCAGGTGGACAATGAGAGTAAGGACTGCATTGTGGCACTGCTGTGATTACACAGGACACATGAAAGCAGCTGACATCAACCCTGCTGCACAACTGGCCGGCAGTAAACTGCTGCTATTATCACCCCAGCCTTCTGCAGAAGGGCCAGCACATTTAGACTCAGCAGACACTGAGATTGTGTCCCAACTGGGCACATCCTGTGCTATGACAAGGTCAGAAACCCTCTCTGGGCCTCAGTTTCCTCCTCTGTAAAAGGAGGTGAATAGTCCCTGCCTCCCAGGGCTGGTGTGAGGAAGAAATGGGCAAAGAGATGACCACAGGATCCTGGAGGTGGCCAACCGGGAAAAGCGCCAACTCCTGCGTGACTTTGGACAAGTCCCTCCCTGGGCTGGACCTCCCCTTCCTCATCGGCAAAGTGAATTTGTTTTTCTCATGTGGCCTCCAAGAGAATCAGAAGTGACACCAGGAAGTTCAAGTAAAAGCTTAATAGGCATAAGGCCCTGCACACACTTCACTCTCTGGTGACTACTACCCCTAGAGAAAGTCAGAGAGCCACTGGCTCCGGCCTCTGGGCAACTGCTTCGTGTTTCAGCTTCCTCACCCACGGCCCTGCCCTCTCCAAGTCCCCAGAGCATATCCCAGCAGGTCTCAAACTGGCCACCTGTTGGTGCAGGATGCACTTGAGTTTCTTCCAGGATGCTGTGTGGGGCTCAGTGGTGTGGTGTGACTTCAGACGAGGTCAAGGGAAACCCAAAACAGAGCCCGAGACCCAAAGTCCCATGGTCAGAACAGCAGCCCCTCTGCCCTCCCGGCCTCTGGGGGAGGGGGAGGAAGTCAGCCTGGGAAGAGAAGGAGACTCCAGATCACCCCAAGAAAGCACACTCTGGGGGCGGGAAGGACAGAGGCCCAGCATCCCCACGGTAGTGGTCTCACACACGTGACCTCTTCCCCTGCTTTGCTTATGAAACTGACACTGACACTGGGACATGAGCTGTGAGGCCCACAGAGAGGAAGTGTCTCTCTTCAAGACACAGGGCTTAGAAACAACACCACCACCAGCCGCCAGGCAGCTCTGCCCTGCCGCCTTTCTCTCCCGCTGCGTCCCACCATGCCTGCACAGAGGGGCGGGGAGTCTGGGACGGAGGGCAGGGGTTGGAGAGAGGTGCGGGAACCCTCATCTCATCCATTTCCTTTCCAGTCGTCCATCCGTGCAAGCCGAGGGACCATTGGTGGCTATTTCCTGGCAGGGAGGTCCATGACCTGGTGGCCAGTGAGTTGACCTTCCTCATCCCTCAGTGTGGGACTCCAGCCCTCTCTCCCCCACCATCTAAAGCCTCATCTCACCTCCTGGCTGGACAAGGCAACAACCTCCCCTTTGTGTTTCCTGACTCTGGATTCCTTCTCTTCTGCCCGAATTTACCCCACACCCTGAGAGGCCTCATCAACATTCACTTTGGACAAGTGTCCCCTGCTTCTCCCAGGTGTGGGTCCTACACTGGACACTGGACCTGCAGGGATGAGTCTGGAAGGTTCCTGTTCTGGAGAAACTCAGAGCTTGCTGGACACTGACCTGGCAGGAAGCACAGGGCTCCTGAGAGCTTGGATGAATTCCCTGGCCCCAGACAGTGGAGTGGGAGGCGGTTAGGGAGGATGTTACTGGGAGGCTGACACATAAGCTTAGTGCTGAAGAGCAGTTAAGGGAGGGGAGTCACAGGCGTTATATCCCCAGCAACCTCAAGAAGTGACCCTGAAACCCTTGTGAGCCCTAGTTTCTCCCATCAGGTCGCCCCACATTTCTATTGCTCCTCAAAACTAATTTACTCTAGCTGGAATGGGAGGAAAGCCCTGCCTTGGAAACTGATATCAGGACCAGTGGTTGCTGACACAGTAAACACACCACACCCAGGCATGCAAACTCACACACGGCGTGGGCACGCATTCTCACACCCTCTATTCTCACACCCTCACACACGCTCTTACACTCCTACTCACACACTCACACACAATCTTGCACTCTTACACTAATGTGCTCACACACATTTCCATGCATGCCCACCCTCAGACATGCTTGCACACAATCACACATACTCACGTTCTCACCCACGCCGCCAGCCACCTCTTCCCAACCTCCTCTTGGTTCTCACACCTTCCCTCCTCTCCACCGGTCATAGATTCTCCAGAGGACACCCAGGAGGCCTCCAGGGCTCTCTGGGAGGTTTAGGCATCTGGGACAGGAGGAAGTAGGGACAGAGCTCTCTTGTCCTACCCATGATGTTGCCCCCAGGGACATGGGAGCCTGAGGCAACTCAAGAATAGTGACAAGGTCACTGATGCCACCAGTCACCCACCCCCTCATCATATGAAAGAAAAACCCATGAAAATGGTTCTGCTCAGCCAGGGTGTTCAAATCACAGCCCTAGAAATGGGCGAGGGGTGGAGAAATAACAGGACAGAGAGACCTCCTCAGGGGTCACTGCAGGAGAGCCCAGAGGCCCTGCCGACTGCCTGCTCAACCCTGCAGAGAGCAGAGCTCCAGGCCCCACTG